AAAACAAGCAGGTTCAACTGTAAAAGAATTAACTTTTCAATTTGAAATTTTTGAAACAGACATATTTTATTATGAAGGCTTTAGAATCACTATTATTATAACATTATACACCTTATAAGTTATAATAATAATTAGTAAGTACTAATAAAAAGATTAGAAACATATAAACTATTTAATTTAATAGTTATTAATAAAATAAAAAAGACAAGTTCTGATAATTTAATGTTTGCGTGACACAAACCCTAACTTTATTTCTGAAGTTTGAGTATCACTGTGTGATTTTGTGTAATTGAGTCACAAACTATTGATCCATATTTTTATTAACGGGATCTTAATAAGAAATAACTTGACTTAAAAAAAAAATGAAATATCAATGATGTTGAAAAATTTACCGTTATAGAAAAATCAAATCTTTTTTGCCAACAGGATGGGGAAAACAGAAAAAAAAGTAAAAGTACTTTGAATCACAGTTTGGAACTACCGGCTTAAATTAAGTCGATAATTAATACAATTTCAAACTTAACTGTGATTTTGTTGTAGGTTCCTAAAACACTGTTTACAAACATCTAGTCTTTAGACAACTTAATCATTTAAACACAGTCCACTTTATTGCATTATTTTTTATTAATAAAGTTGTTTATATAATAAAAAAAAGTTAGTTATAAATGTAAAATAAGCAACATTTTAAATATTTACTGTGGAATTAAAATAGTAAGCAAATTAAATCCAAAATTCCTTATTTAGTGTAAATTGTTTAAAACAATTATTTGAGCACAGAACATATTTTGAATAAATTGAACATAACTAAACAAACAATAGTAACGCTTCGCGACGCTTGTCCATTCAATGTATGCACTTATGAGATTGTAAGCCAAATTTTAAAGCTATTGTTTACTACCTATAAAAACTAAAAATTACAATTTTCAAATAGCATAATAATGATCTGTTGTACTGTGCTGTTACTTGTTGAATGTAGAACATAGATAGTAGAAAAATATGACAACTAATGATAATAATATTTTGTACTATCATCATAGCAGCAGTTATCAACCTACTTATACCGCGGTTTTTGATTGTTGTGGTTAAATAGCCATTCATTAGCCGCTGTTAATATAGGTCTGTCAACCTACCTGTCATGACGGTGTGTTAGAAAAGTCGGTAATCTATAAATATGAATCACTGGTCAAACAAAATATCACAAAACATTGTATTGTGTTTGGTTATCTGTGTACTCATCTATCGGACAATGCAATCATAAATAAGTATTTTATTGGCTCCCGGTCTTTGGAAAACCAAAGAAATATAACAATATTTAAGAGAAAATGTAATATCTTTACAAAGTCATAGCTAACGACTAGATGGATAAAAATTAATAATTCAAACGATAACATATTTAAAAATGTTTTGCCTACAAATATATGGAATTAAAAACATATGTTGCCATTTGAAAACGTGAACTTAGACCCTTTTTATCGTATAAGGGATGAAAATAAAAATTTTCATAGCATTGAAAAATGTAGTAAAACTTATACCTAAAAAAATAGGAAAAAATGTTTTTTCAAAATATTCATATTTTCCGAGAAAATGAGTGTCTTACGTTAGTTGGATCACCCTGTATAGTTAGAATAAAATTTGTTAAATAATGTACATTATATTCATTTGAATATTTTTTTAACACATAAGTTTCCAAATTTAGTAATTGTAAATGTTTTTAAAAGGGAGAACCAAATATTAGAATTATTTAAAAAAAAAATGTCTTATCCTTAATGAATTATCAGTATATATCAAAAAATTATATTTGACATATCTAAACTAAATTATTTGTTTACCACCCTTCAACACCAAACAAATTTTTAATAACTCAGTCCAACTAGAAATGTATTGATCCCCTATATATGTGTATTTTTAGTGGGATCAAATTTTTAATAACTCAGTCCAACTAGAAATGCATTGAGCCTCTATAATATGTGTACTTTTAGTAGGCACACATTTTTAATAATTCAGTCCAACTAGAAATGTGTTATGCCCTTATATTAACCATAGTTTTAGTTGGACCAACTATATATTTTTTAGAGAGTAAATTATTCACCCTAATTTATAGGTTAAAATATATATATAACATTTTGGACTTTTTGTGTTCGAAAAACATGGAATATTTAATATTTTTAATAATATTTTCATGCATAGCTAACCAAAATTGTTTACTGCTAACGAAATAATCCATCCGGCTCAAGTGTTTTTTAGAAACATGATATTATGTGCTGTTATTTTCCAAAAAATATTGCCTCTTGCGTCATACTTTAAAAAATCTGTTTCTATATAGTTTAAATAACATTTGTTAAATAATGTATATTATATACATTTGAATATTTTTTTGACACATGAGTTGGCAAATTTAGTAATTGTAAATGATTTTAAAAAGGAAAACAAAAATTTTGAATTTTTTTAGAAAAAAAAGTCTTTTCCTTAATGTATTATGTGTATTCAACATAAAACATATATTTGATATATCTATACCATTGATTAGTGTACTACCCTCTTACGCAGGAAAAATATATAGTTCGTCCAATTTTAACTATATTAATGTAGAGACAAGATTAATTTTTAGATGGCCCAATTAGATGTTTTGTTAGAACATCTTGTTTATTAGTTATTTCAACTAGAAATGTATTGAGCCCCTATAATATGCGTACTTTTAGTGGGATCAAATTTTTAATAAGTCAGTCCAGCTAAAAATGTATTGTGCCCTCAAATTAACCATAGTTTTAGTTGGACCAACTTTGTATTTTGTAAAGAGTAACTTATTCACCTTAATTTATAGGTCAAATAATATATTTACACATTTTCACTTATTTTGTTTGAAAAATATCAGGAGGAATATTCAAAATATTCCACAATAGTTTAATGCAACGGTAACCAAAATTGCTTATAGCTAATGAAATTGTTATTTCGGCCTTCCTTTTTTTTAAAAACTAGATATGAGCTGTTGTTTTCCAAATAATATTGCCATTTGCGTCATACTTTAAAAAATCTTTATTTATATAGTTTGAATAAAATTTGTTAAATAATGTACATTATATTCATTTGAATATTTTTTTAACACATAAGTTTCCAAATTTATTAATTGTAAATGTTTTTAAAAGGGAGAACCAAATATTAGAATTATTAAAAAAAAAAATGTCTTATCCTTAATGAATCATCTGTATATATCAAAAAATACATATTTCATTTATCTAAACCATTGATTGGTATACCACCCCTCAACACAGAAAAAATATATAACTAGTGTAACTTACATTTTGATTAGTATAGTGGCAATTAGTATAGTTTATTTAGTTCTTTTAAATAGAAATATATTGAACAACTATAATAAGTGTACATTAATTAAGACCATTTTTGTTAAGAACTCTGTCCAACTAGAAATGTATTGTAAAAAATAATTTAATATAAAAAAAGGGTCTTATCCTTTATGAAACATCGGTATACAACAAAAAATATATACTTGACATATCTTACCAACCTTCAACACAGTATAAATATATAGTTTAAACCACATTTGTTAAATAATGTATACTATATTCATATGAATGTTTTTCGAAACATAAGTTAAAAATTAAAATGCAAAACTTAAAAGCCAGTACATTTGGGTCGGGGCTTAAATTTAAAGTTATTTTTTCCGAAATGTCCAGTACAGTAGAGACCGTACCACCGTACACAGGTTAGCATTGAAATGAATTTTGTCACTTGTGTGGATAACGGACCTCGTTTTAACGCGTTCCTTCTGTTCTGGTTTATACTGTGCTTGGTTTAGCGACTGTACTTGTTTAAACTTAGTACCCACTGAGTTGCATCAAAGGGATTACTTAGAAACCAATTCTATTGAGAAGGTGCCTCTAGTGATCAATAATTGACGGGTATAATTTTTGTTAAATTTTGACTCGCCCAGAGATGTTAGTCTAACATACCATTTTTAAAGAGATAGAATTTTTTTTTGCCATGTTTTAAAAATTAAGGCAATTTGCTGTTGGTTGATTTGTGTTGTAGGCTTGTTTGTGTTTTGGTTTGGGTAGAATTAGTATACGTGGAACACGTAGAGACTTGCCATGGTTTGCCGCTAAAAATCCCGGGTGGTCACCCATCTGGGACCAAGCAGCAACGGACACAGCTTAACCTCAGGTTCTTCGCGGCAGCTTAGGTGTCCACTGCTCAAAAAAATGATGATTTTGTTTTTATTTCTTTTTTTACAAGTTACAGATAAAAAATAAACCTATACTCAGTCTAATTTTCAGCTCTAAGTCTAAAACGAAAAAAATGTCAATCCATTAATATTGGCTATTCGGGAATAGTGGCATGCCCAATAAATGTTTTAAAAAAATTGCGCTTAGATCCGACCGTTTTTCGCTAAATTCTAGTGAGGTAAAATTCAAAGTCTAAAAACCGGCAAATTGTTTTCGATTTTTGTTGGTTTTTGAGGGTGAAGAAGTTGATTTTTCTACTTTTATTCCAACAAAGTACCAATTGCAAACCATTTCGGATACATAGAGATGATACTCAAGTAAATCGGCCCAAAGGAAAAAAATACGTGACCCTTCTTTTTAGATATTAGGTTTATTTTTCAGTTTTTCTTAAACAAAAGGTTAACAGCAGATTTTTAAGAAAATTGTTTGTTTGTGTTATTGTTCCATTCTAGATTATTCTAGATATGTTCTTTAGATAGGGCACTATCGATAAACGTTGAAAATATATGCATATATTTTGCACATGAGTAAACAGTTTTAAAATGTATATGAATGCCATACAACGCAAATAAAACCGTTCTTAAATGTCTGTTGCTTAAAGCAAATTGCATGGTTCAACAGTTAAAACTTGGTACTGTTTTCATTCCATAAGTATATGTTCTTGTAGTAAGTACTGCGGATATTCGGGAAAACCTTATTTGAATCACAGTCATCAAGTAATAATAAAATATTCCCATAACATTAAAAATCGTCATAGGAACTGTTATCGAGTATTTCAAAAAAACAGTTTTTACTTCCAAAAAAAAAAATTAAATATTCTGAATCCTAGTTTCTTGTTTAAATATTTAAAATGTTTTCAAAAACCGTGATACAGATTTTTTGCGTGGCATTTTATTTTTTGCAATGTCAAGGTGCTGGCCCTACTAAACAACAACTTGTAAGCATAACGAGTACTTATTATTTATGACTAATAAAAAATGCCGAGATTGTTGCTTGACAATGTATAAAATGTGTATCTAATCTAATATAAGTATCTATCGCTTAAAGCAAATTGTATGATTCAATAGTTACAAACTTGGTAATGTGTTCATTCTTCAAGTATATTTTCTTATAGTAAGTACTGCTGTTATTAGGGAAAATCCTATTTGAATCACAATCATCAAGCAATAATATAATATTCTCATTACATTATAAAATCGTCATAGATGACGTTTTCACAACGGCTTTTTACTGCTAAAACTAATAATTTAACATTCCGTATCCAAGTTTATCGGTTGAACACTTAAAATGTATTCGAAAAACATGATTCTGTTTTTTTGCGTTGCATGGTATGTTTTGCAATGTCAGGGTAATCTCTCCAATAGCAGCGATCATGTAAGTAAAACGGGCAGTAATATTTTAACTTTTATTTTCAAATTAATAACCAATTATTGATAACAATAATACAAAAAAAACTTTAACTACTATAATATTTATGTTATAATGCTGAAAAAATTTGCAAGCCATATAATATGTCTGGTAGTTCGGCATTTTTATAGCGTTAAAGAAGGATCAGTTTAACTTGTAATTGTAATATCCAATTAAATGAGTATATTTTATTCTTATAACAATAGGAAAAAATAACAAAAATAGTCAGTGAACATCACAAGCCGAGTGGCCTGCACTACGAAGATTTATTAATTGTTTTTGACGAAGTAAAACAAGCAACGGGCGCACGTGGAAACTTCCCCAGCCGTGATGAATTAGAAGTAGATGGTAATAAATAATAGAATAATATTTAACAATGTGTGTTGAGTAATATAAACAAATCTATTGAAAAGACATTTTAGTAATCAAGTCTGTCATTTGTAAAACTGTAAATTGTAGTCATAAATTATGAACTAATTGAATAATTTTAAAAAAATTACACCATTTTTTTATGGTGTTAATTTTAGTAAAATATGAGATGCATGATAGGATTTAAAAAAAAAGCCCGGTTAGCGGGGTGGTGACAGGGGGACAGGGAGGTCACAGGCTTGCAGGAATTTATTACAACTGAAAATGACAAAATCACTTTCGAACAAATGCGTTAATGCGAATCAGTAGTTAGTATTTTAAAACCAGTGCGGTCCAAACCAAGCACAGTATAAACCGGTATTTTAAAAAATGAGGTTGCGTGAGGTGCGTTGTTACCAATTAGCATCAAATCGTTTATTTGAAAGTGATTTTACCCTAAAGGACTAGTACAAACTTTAAAACTCGTATGGTTTTTTTTATTTTCAAAGTTTTTACTGTGATGAAGTAAACATTTTCAATTTGTAACACCCTACCCCCCCCCCCCCCCCCCACAAGTTCCAACTAGATAAATTTTGTGTTTTATAGGGTTTCTATAATAATAAAAAATAAAAAAACTAACATGTATAACTCTCAATGCCTTTGCTGTTAAATTGGTCAAATGTTATTTTTCAAAAAGATACTTAACATTTTGTTATTTCAGATTATATGGAGCGTTACTATACGAAAGACGAAGTTTTAAGTATCGTCCGAGATACTGTAGGTGGCGATAGTATGACGGTAAATAAAAAACTTAAATTACTATATTACAGTTTAAAGGTTGGTTAGGTGGTTTTTTGCGGGGAAATTTGAAGTATTCAAACTTTCAATTATTCTATGTAAAATTGGTTTAATTTATTCTTAAAATTATAATAAGTACTTAAAATGTATGATTAATACATTTCTAAGATTATTGCTGGTATAATCAAACTGTAAATTATTGTTTAGAAAATTAATCCTATATTTTTAACGTTTACATTATTTTTCTAAAAATGTTTTAATTGTAAATTTTAATACACATTTTAATGTCTAATCTTTTTCCGATAACAATAGATAACGATAAATAAGTTTTTTGAAAAAAAAAATTATTCAAATAATATAAACTTTGAAGAATTATGTCGTGTCTTTCGACATTTAGATGAGCGATCTAGTCATGTTGTCAAAACGGATCTGTTAAGTAATAAACAATAGAAAAATATTGAATAAATATTTTGAGAAAAATTTTCAAAATCTATTGAAAAGACATTTTAATAATAAAATCTATCATTAATGACACAACTATAAATTATATATTTTTTTATTAAAATGAAACGTAATATGTAATTTGACATTATTATTCTTCAATTATGAACATTTGAAATAATGATCTTTTACAAGTGGGAAACATAATTTTTCTCAATATATTTTCTGTTAAATTGACCTGATTAATTTGATTAAAAAATGTATAATACTTTGTACTTTCAGAACGCACGTTTCCTGTTTTGGAGGAAGCTGATATCATTGGCCACATTGTTAAGAATTTAATTTTTTGATTGTATTATTAACTGTTATTAAATTAATGCATGTATAGACTTTGTAGTATGTCACATACAAAAATGTTGTCTTGGTTGATTAATAAAGTCATTTTTCTCTTACATTTCATTATTATATCGTTGGTATTTATTGTAGATTTTTGATTATATTAGTAATTGTTATTAAATGAATGCATACATGGAATATGTCACTTATAAATGTAATTTTAATTGATTAGTAAATCATTTTGCTCTTATATTTCGTTGGTATTTATTTTATTACTTCAAGTATTAATACCCGATCCCAGCAGATTTTATCATGGATATGTTTAAATTTAAGTTTTTTTAAGGAAAATTTTCTACAACCATTTTGAAGCTGTATGTTTTATGAAATTTACAAACACTGTTGGTGAACTAATTTCCAATTAAGACCTTTATCAGTGTATTTGAAGAAAACTAAAAACTAATTACAAAAAATACGAATCAATATAATTCAGTACTTTCTTAGCTTCACTTTGAATCTAAGATAGGAATTACTTGTATTTTAAATTCACTTTATATTATAATCTTTTATGTTTTAACATAATAAGAGTTGTCAATTTTTACAAAAAAATTTGTATAGTTTTATTGTAGTTTTTAGCTTCGATACAAAGCGAGAAGGTATTGGTTTTACTCTGATGTGTGTGTTTTTTTTATCTGTATACACTGTAACTTTTTTAATACTGGACCAATTCCTTCGAGTAGCAACTTTATAAATCGCAAATTTCATCTAGTTGGTACTTTGGGGGGGTAAAAGTTGAAAAAGTTTACTTCTTCACAGACGAAAGTTGAAAAAAACCAGTACAGTGGGGTCGGTGCATAGTGGGGACGGAGCATAGTTGGGTCGAGGCATAGTGGTGACGGGGAGGTCACAGGTTTACAGGAATTTTTAAATCTGAAAGTGATAAAATCACTTTCGAAAAAACGCTTCGATGCAAATCGGTAGTTAGTATTTTCAAGCCAGTACAGTCCAAACCAAGCACAGTATAAACCAGCAAAGTTAGAAAGTTTTAAATGAAGGTTCTGTATTTACAAATGAGCATCAAAGCGTTTATTTGAAAGTGATTTTAACCGAGAGGACTAGTACAGTAGAGTATTGGCATAATGTAATCAAAGCAATGAGGAAACGGAGAGGTCACAGGTCTACAAGAATTATTATAAGTAAAAGTGATAAAATTGAATAAAATCGCTTTCAAATAAACGCTTTGATGCTCATTTGTAAATACAGAACCTTCATTTAAAACTTTCTAACTTTGCTGGTTTATACTGTGCTTGGTTTGGACTGTACTGGCTTGAAAATACTAACTACCGATTTGCATCGAAGCGTTTTTTCGAAAGTGATTTTATCACTTTCAGATTTAAAAATTCCTGTAAACCTGTGACCTCCCCGTCACCACTATGCCTCGACCCAACTATGCTCCGTCCCCACTATGCACCGACCCCACTGTACTGGTTTTTTTTTTTTTTGCAAAAACTTAGTGGACCAAATAACACAAATACAATGTCTTGTTATATTTTGTTGGAATGGTCGACGATTCATGTTTCAATCGTTTGTACTCCATAGTTTAAATTATAATCGCTTATTCTCAATAAAATTAATATTTATGTATTATATACTTCCATTATAGCAATCTCACACAAACTATTTATACTTCACAGATTATATTATTTCAAAGCTATATTATACTTCTATTTTACTAGATTGACAATGTACAAAATAAAATGCAACTAAAAAAACCTTTTCATAGATCCTTAAAATGTAAAGGGTGGGTTAGTGAAACGGGTTTTACCATTTAAATACATTAGAAAATCGCCGTTTTACTGCCTCATCCTGTATATTAATTTCTTGTTATTTTCTAAAGAAAAATCGATTTTCTTACATTTAAATTAAAATAAATCGTATACTGGTACTGTGATGGAGAAAACAATAAATTTTACCTACATTTATTACTTATTAGTTAAATATTACTAACGTGTATAGCCACTAGCAGTCGGCTGTTGCCTGTTATTTAACAATAACCTTTAATGGAGATTTTAAAAATTGTGTTTTTTTAATGATAGCATAGGAGCAGTATCATGATGTTAAATGTTTACAAGATTTGATCTAGTCATAAAATAAAGTATTATCATTTATGACTTAATTATTATTAAAATTTATCTTAATAGTAATAGTACATAGTAATAAAAAAATGAAATATTTTTTACAAAATTAGAGCTACAAGTTGATAAACTAAAAAAATAAAATTAGCACGAAGCAGATTATCTAATATTAGACAATTTAAACAATCAAGCGTGAATCTCTTTAAATGAATAACAGTATAACAATATACAAAACATTAGTTTTCCTTTAAAAAAATTGTGTAATAAAAAAAATATTTTGAGTCGGTATACTGCATAACAAACCAACACTTAATCTGAATCCAAAAAAAAACACTCCTCTTCATTATTTGCAGGTAGTTGGACATTAAATACTCATAGTTAACCTTCGGTAAGGTTATATAACGCAGGCTATAAAATAACGAGATAACGACAGTGGTTTTGTCGTATCAGAATCATTAAGTGTCTTAATAAGTACACGACCAGGTTTTTTTCACAATAAATCGAGTGTCTACTATAATCAGTTACACGATTTAGTCGCCTGTGATATCATGTAATAAACACAATATTATGATACCGATCATTGGGCCCTAAACTAATCTAACACGGATAGACGTTACCAACTGATAGTTTTTAGTGTCTGTTCGTTTCTCACATCTGGTACACTGGGTTTTTAGTTAAAAAAAAAAAAAAAAAAAAAGTTGAATTTGTGTAAACTTTAAGTCAAGAGTGGTACTTGAGCACAAAACCTAATAGTATCATTCTGCATAAATATAAATAAAATTGTTTTAATGATTTGATCAATTTTTTTTAAAGATTTTAAGTGTTTTTGTTAAAATATACATAATCTGCGAAAACACAGTTTCCCGGCAATTAAAAAAAAACTGTAGTGCCGAATTTTTTTCCCGTTTAATATGTTATGGGTACATATGAGTTCCGACTACTGGCAAATTTTCAACCCAAAAGTTTTAAAATTACGGCTAAAAACCCCGAAAAACAAAAAAACTTGTACCCCCCCTAGGGGGGCGGGAAATGGGTATATTTTGAATTTGACAAAACTGACGTGCGCGGGCTTACCAAATAAATATTTTTTAAACATTTCAACTCGATCCGACTCTTTTTCTTAATACTATAGCCAGTAAAAGTTCTAACTTAAAAACTCGTACGGTTTTTTTTTTGTTTTTTCAACTTTCGTCTGTGAAGACTTAAATTTTTTCAACTTTTACCCCCCCAAAGTACAAACTAGACAAAATTTGTGATTTATAGAGTTGCTATTCGAAGGAATTGGTCAAGTATTAAAAAAGTTACAGTGTATACAGCGAAAAAAAAAGCCCACATCAGAGTAAAACCAATACCTTCTCGCTTTGCATCGAAGCTAAAACATTTTTCTGGATTTTTGTGTAAAAGACATCAAAAGTGGTCAAATTATATGTTTTTTGGGTCGGTGATTACGAATTTAATATCAGTTCTCAATTTTAATCATCCGGAAAGAACTTAAGTAAAAAAAAAAAAAAAAAGTTGAATTTGTGTAAACTTTAAGTCAAGAGTGGTACTTGAGCACAAAACCTAATAGTATCATTCTGCATAGATATAAATAAAATTGTTTTAATGATTTGATCAATTTTTTTTAAAGATTTTAGGTGTTTTTGTTAAAATATACGCAATGTGCGAAAACACGGTTTTCCGGCAATTAAAAAAAAACTGTAGTGCCGAATTTTTCACCCGCTTAATATGTTATGGATACATATGAGTTCCAACTACTGGCAAATTTTCAACCCAAAAGTTTTAAAATTACGGCTAAAAACCCCGAAAAACAAAAAAACTTGTACCCCCACTAGGGGGGCGGGAAATGGGTATATTTTGAATTTGACAAAACTGACGTGCGCGGGCATAACAAATAAATATTTCTTATACATTTCAACTCGATCCGACTCTTTTTCTCGATACTATAGCCAGTAAAAGTTCTAACTTAAAAACTCGTACGGTTTTTTTTTTGTTTTTTCAACTTTCGTCTGTGAAGACTTAAACTTTTTCAACTTTTACCCCCCCAAAGTACAAACTAGACAAAATTTGTGATTTATAGAGTTGCTATTCAAAGGAATTGGTCTAGTATTAAAAAAGTTACAGTGTATACAGCGAAAAAAAAAGCCCACATCAGAGTAAAACCAATACCTTCTCGCTTTGCATCGAAGCTAAAACATTTTTCTGGATTTTTGTGTAAAAGACATCAAAAGTGGTCAAATTATATGTTTTTTGGGTCGGTGATTACGAATTTAATATCAGTTCTCAATTTTAATCATCCGGAAAGAACTTAAGTAAAAAAAAAAAAAAAATTTAAACTTTGTGTAAACTTTAAGTCAAGAGTGGTACTTGAGCACAAAACCTAATAGTATCATTCTGTATAGATATAAATAAAATTGTTTTAATGATTTGATCAATTTTTTTTAAAGATTTTAGGTGTTTTTGTTAAAATATACGCAATGTGCGAAAACACGGTTTTCCGGCAATTAAAAAAAAACTGTAGTGCCGAATTTTTCACCCGCTTAATATGTTATGGATACATATGAGTTCCAACTACTGGCAAATTTTCAACCCAAAAGTTTTAAAATTACGGCTAAAAACCCCGAAAAACAAAAAAACTTGTACCCCCACTAGGGGGGCGGGAAATGGGTATATTTTGAATTTGACAAAACTGACGTGCGCGGGCATAACAAATAAATATTTCTTATACATTTCAACTCGATCCGACTCTTTTTCTCGATACTATAGCCAGTAAAAGTTCTAACTTAAAAACTCGTACGGTTTTTTTTTTGTTTTTTCAACTTTCGTCTGTGAAGACTTAAACTTTTTCAACTTTTACCCCCCCAAAGTACAAACTAGACAAAATTTGTGATTTATAGAGTTGCTATTCAAAGGAATTGGTCTAGTATTAAAAAAGTTACAGTGTATACAGCGAAAAAAAAAGCC